TTTTTAACTAGAATGGATAAATAAACGAGCTTTAATTTTTCGTTTTAATTAAAATAAAAAAATAAATTCTAATTTTTATTTTTTTATATAATTCTACTAATAATACAAGTATTTATTGTATAGCAAAATTTTTGGAAAAATTTAAAATTAAATATAAGAATATCATTGCGAATAGTAATATCCTTTTAAATTTTTGTCGCTGTTACACCGTATGTATGTGCACAAGCTCTTCACTTTGCTCCGGACAAAAATGAAACAATGTCAAAATATTAAATTGATTTTTTATTTAAACATATATTACAAGATATATAGTAACAATAAAAATAATAATTACACAATAATCTAGCATTCATGATAAAAATAAACCTTTCAGGCTTAAACCACCATTCTGGGCTTAAGCCTAATCATCAATCGACTACAACTATTAAGAAGATAAGTTTTATCTTTTGCATCCACATTTTCATTTACCAGTTCAATATCATACTTTCTAAATAATAAAACCAAAATAGCTTTAATTTCAACCATTGCCAATTGTTTACCAACACAACCTCTTAATCCACCGCCAAAAGTTAATAATCTTTGAGACATGAATAATGGATAATCATCAGATAAGAATCTTTCTGGAATAAATTCTGTAGGATTTTCCCAATAATCTTTATGTAAATGAATGGCATCTACACATGCAATTACCGTAGCACCCTTTGGAATTGTATATCCACCAATTTCGTCTTGTTCGTAAAGTTCACGAGGATTAATTGGAGGGTTTGCTTTTAAGCGGCTCGTTTCTTTAACAATTGCATCACAATAAGGGAGATTATTCATAAGTTTTTCATAGGTGATTTCACTTGATGGTAATGTAGTAGGAAATACGGAATCAAGTTCTTGAATAAGTTTTTGTTTTACCGAAGGATGCTTACATACATAATAAACAATGAAGCATGTAAGACTTAAAACCTGAATAATGATAAATATTTTTTTGTTTAAAAAAGGTTAAAGATAATTTATAGTTTTCATGTGTATTTTTTTTGAAAACATACCGTTTCAACACCAGCGACAAAGAATTCGAGTAAGACACCAAAAATCTCTCTTTCATTCATTGGGTTTATAGCCTTTCCATTATTACTATTTAATTCCTGAGCTTTGTTAACTGTTAATAATGTATCTAAAACGTCGTGTGTATTGAGTTTATCCAACGGCACATTTTCAATTTCTTGCGTACGTTTTTGAATGATTCTAGAAAATTCATTGGTTAACCAATTATAATTTGATTGGAATCTTAGTTGAAAAAGAGATAATGGAGGGATGTAATGACGAATGAAATTCGAAGGACAAAACGTCATGAATATCACTAAAATATATATATATATATATATGTTATTAGTAAAGAAATTTATTAAAATAATTTAGAAAGGTTATATAAAAAAAAGAATTAAAAAACGTACTATGTTTTACCCAGGTCACGAGACTATTAATGAATTTTTCAGATTCAATAATTTCAAAAGTTTGATGTTTTTTATTTTTGCAAAGAAAATTGTGATAACCAGCCATGCTAAATGCGTGATCACCAAAATTCATATTTAAAGCGAGATCAGTTATAAATCTCCTCATCCATTGACTAAAATCAATCACAAATTCATCAATTTCTTTGGACTTATTATTTTCAAAGTTTAAATCTTTCCAATAACCTTCAACTTCTACAAATAACTTTTTAACAGCATTCATATATCCTTTTAAAACTTTGACATTTGAAAGGGTATAATTTAAAATTCTACGATTATACTTCCAACTTTCGAAATCTCTATTAAAAACAATTCCAACTTTATCCATTCCTAATTCTTTAAATCCATTAGTAGATAAAGCTCTACAAAAAAAACTTGTTTTTGTAGAATTTGTAAAGAGGTTTTCAACTAATGAAGGATTACATAACCAAATATTACGTTCAGAAAACATGTAAAGTTCAAAGATGTCACCATATTTCGATTGAAATTTTTTAACCGATGTAAGTAAACAAAAACCTATTTGGAATAAGTTTCCAACAATTGGTAATGGTAATGGACCAGGGATAGGGTTCGGACGGGTAAAGTAAATAAAATAGAAACGAAAGATATAGACTACAAATAAGATTATAAAGATATCTGAATTTTTAAGAAGAATATTATTCGAGAATAACGTGGAAACATTATTCATTAACTTTGAATTTGAATTTGAGAATAACGTGGAAACATTATTCATTAATAACATTGAATTTGTGAATAAAGAGAAAACATTATTCACGAATTTTAAATCATCAACATTTGAAATTTGGGAAGAAGGTGGATCGTTATTTACGAATAACGCGTAAATGTTAAGCATAATCGTTGAATTTGCTAATAACGAGAAAATGCTAATCATGATTGTTGAAATTATTATTAAAAAAATATATATAGATAATGTTATCTTCAATGAATAAGAGAATTATAAAAATTTCTTTTTTTTTTTTTTAAACCTGGCTATATAAAAGCTGTAGAGACCCTGAAGGGGTGACCTGTTTCTTTTGAAAATCATGAAGAACCGCGTCTTCTGTGTATGGTCACTATTCAACACTAGATGATAAATGTTTAATTGACATAAAAAGCTAAAACAAATCCGAAATTCCTAAATGAGTTGAGTTTATAGATTAGGGAATTCAGATTACCTATTTTTATTGTGTGATGTTTGAGAATATTACCGACTATTAACATTTTAATTTCTTAATAAAGGATATAAATTTCAAAAAAACCCCGACTATATACTAACAGAGATAATAAATGTAAATTAATGTCAGATCATCCTGATTAGTAAATCTTATCGGAATATTTCCAAATTAATGTCTGATATATATACATAACATAGTTAGTTAACACTATACTACGAAACCTATTTTGTTTTTATCTCCTAAAGCCACTTGTTTTATTTAGTTACATCGTACTTCTGTGCAAGTTATCTGCCTGTGCCGTTTTACGACGGTTCATTTTAAGATCAGTTAAGAATTGAATTCTTTGATCTTCATTTTAAGATCAGCCAAGAATTGAATTCTTTGGAAATCAACCCCATAAACTAATTTTAAATTTGATAAACTTGATATACCCGACAACTTATGATGACTGCAGCTTAATAATTTAATATTCATATCACGCGACAAATCAGATCAGCCCGGCTAGACAGACTATCTCGGGATTGTACTTCCAAATCGATTAGTCAACTAGTTATTTTTCAACCAACGCTAACGACTAATTAACTAGATAATAAATTAGTTGGCAAATTATAGTAAGCAGCAAGATAAAAATAACTTTTGTAACTGTTTTTACGCCAAAAAAACAATTATAGTACCTTACTTAATAATTCGAATTTCAGATCGTTATATTGAAGTATTATACAGTGATTGGCAAGCAAGAAAATACAATAAACAATGATAATAATGATAATAATGACAATAATGATAATAATGACAAATTGATGATCATGAATTATTTCTGTCTGTTATTTTTTTTCATGTGTTACGAAAATATTCACGTTTACTCGAATTAAAACTCAGTCGACAACTCCCTACCAATCATGATCATAAATTGT